GATACTTGGTAGGATTTCAGTCTTCTTGATTTTATTGAGATTTGTTTTGTGGCTTAGCATGTGATCTGTCCTGGAGAATTTTCTATGTGCACTTGAAAAGAACATATATTCTGCTGTTTTCAGATGAAATGTTTTGTATATATCTGTTAGGTCCATTAGTCTAATGTGTTGTTCAAAGATACTGTTTCCTGTTGATTTTCTCTCCGGATGGTCTATACATTGATGTAAGTGTTGTGTTAAAGTCACCTACCATTATTGTACTATTGTCAATTTCTCCCTTTATGTCTGTTAGTAGTTGCTTTATATGTTTGATTGTCCAGTGTTGGGTACATAGATATTTACAATTGTTATACCCTCTTTTTAGAATGTTCCCTTTATCATTATATAATGCCCTTCTTAGACTTTAAAACAAAGACTGTAACAAAAGAATTTTGTGTGATCTAAATATTGCTAGTGTGGCTTTTTGTTTCACTTCTGTTTTCATGGAATCTTTTTCCATCCATTAAGTGTATACATGTCTTTAGGTCTAAAGTAAACCTCTTACAGGCAGCAAATGGATAGGTCTTGTTTTTTAAATCTTTTTGGTCACCCTATATCTTTTGATTGTAGCATTTTGTCCTCTTAACCTTTAAAGTAATTATTCATAGGTATTACTTATTGCCATTTTGTGACTTTTTTCTGGTTGTTTTTCTCTGGTCCTTCTCTTGTTCTCTTCCCTTGTGGTTTGATGGCTTTTTAGTGTTAAACACACAAAAAAGAGAAAGGAATCAAAAGTATATCTATTATAGGTTTTTGGTTTGCAGTTACCATTAGGTTCATATTTAACATCTTATGGGTATAGCAGTCTATATTAAGTTGATATTTGCTTAAGTTCAAACAAATTCTAAAAGCACTAAATATTTACTCCCCTACCCACGTTTTATGAATGTCATATTTTATATATATAAATGTATATATGTTTTATGTTGTGTATCCTTGACTCATTTTTGTACATAGAATTTATTTTACTGCTTTTGTGTTTTCATCTCCATACTGGTTTTATAAGAGATTTACCTACCTTTATTACATGTTTGCATTTATTTGTGAAATTTCTTCCTTTCATAATTGTCTTACTGTTAGGGCCTTTTCTTTGCACTCAGAATTCAACATTTTGTGTAAGGATGGGTTAGTGGTAATGAACTCCTTTAACTTTTGTTTGTCTGGGAAACTCTTTATGTCTCCTTCTATTCTGAATGATTATCTTGCTGGATAGAGTATTCCAGTTGCAGGTTTTTTCCTTTAAGCACTTTGAATATATCATGACACTGTCTTCTGGCCTGCAAAGTTTCTGCCAAGAAATCAGCTGGTAGCTGTTTGGGATTTCCCTTGTATGTAACTGTTTTTGCTCTTGCTGCTTTTAAAATTTCTTTTCATAATTAACATGGCAGAAAGTAACGACAGTGTAGGGAGATATGGATCTCCTTGGGTTCATCTTGTTGGAGGGTCTCTGCCTCCTGGATATGGATGTGTGTTTCTTTCTCCAGGTTAGGGAAGTTTTCCGCTATTATTTCTTCAAATAAGTTTTCTGCTCCTTTCTCTCTTCTCCTCCTGAGATCCCTAGAACACTAACGTTATTATGCTTGATGAAATCACAGAGTTTCCTTATCTTTTTTTTTCTTTTTTTGCCTTCAGCTTGGTTGCTGGACATTATCCTGTCTTCTAGATCACCAATCTGTTCTTGTGCATCCTTTGTTCTGTTGTTGATTCCCTCTGGTGTGTGTGTGGTGGTTTTTTCCCCCCCATTATTGAGTTCTTCATCTCTGATTGGTTCTTTTTTTATATTTCTTGTCTCTTTGTTGAAGATCTGAGATCTTTTTTTTTTTCCCCCTCAAGTCAGTATCTTTATGACCATTACTTTGACTTCTTTATCAGGCATAGTGCTTATCTCCATATCATTTAGCTTTTTTGCTGTGATTTTTTTGTTCTTTCATTTGGAACATATTCCTTTCTCTCCTCATTTTGTCTAACTCACTGTTTCTGTATATTAGGAAGGTCAACTCTGTCTCCTGGTCTTGAAAGTAATGGCCTTGTGAAGAAAAGGTTCTGTGGGGCCTTTAGCCCAATGTCATCAGAACCAGGCACTCCAGGGGTGTCTTCTCTGTGGGCTCTGTGCACCCTACTATTGTAGCTCAGTCACATTTGCCTTCAGTCCAGTTGGCTACAATGACCTATCTTATTTTGCCTGCTGTAGGCACATGCCAGGTTTGGTCCTGCACCATTGAGGGGCTTGAGACCACTGCATGCTTGTATGTGGGAGGTGTCTGCATCTAGTTTGCCCTAGCTATGGCAGGGCAAGAGGTCAGGGCACTTTCCCTGCGGGGCTCCCTGGGAGGCTGTTTTTGTTGGGAGGGGTGGGCAGTCAGATTAGATATCTATACCAAGTCTGTCTGCTCTAGCTGTAGGCACACCAAGTGCAGGGCATTCTCCCTGGGTGGCCAGCTAAAAGGTTTGGCTGCTGGAACTATGGGTGTGCTGGTGTGTGGGGTTATCCCCCCTCTACCCAAGGAAGAGTCACTTTGGAGTGGCACTGATCCTTGCCGGGGCTGCTTGCAGGATGTGGTGGGCAGGAGCTGCTTTTCAGGAACCCCTACCAAGTTGTGGGGTGGGGGGTTGTATGGGTGGGTCTGCAGGTGAATGTGAGGGTGAGTTATGTAGTGCTAGCAAAATAGGTGGAGAGGGTTTACATGGGTTCCCACATGTGTCAGGCTATTTAGGCTGGGGGAGATGAAGTGATACATGGCTACACTTTTGTTCTTGGAGAAGTTTCCTGAAGATACCTGCCCCTCCAGCACTTGTTCGGTGATTAGTAAATAAATCTCTTTCTGTGTATACCACAGGCACTTTTCAAATAGCTACTTTTATGCTGTGTCTAGGCTGGGCTATTTATTATTGGTTATTTTGGCTTATTTTAGGGCAGGGATGGTTTCCCATTGCCCTCCAGCTCTTCCAGAGCTAAGCCTGCTAATTTAAAGTACCTGGAGTTAAACCCTAATTTTAACAGCTTTTAAAGTTAAGCCCCACTGGTTATCAGAGCCAGATGTTATGGGAGCTCATCTTCCCAGTGTGTTTCCCTAATGCCTGGGGTACCTGGCATGGAGTCTGATCAGCTCACTTCTCCACGCTTGTGATATCCCTCCTGTTTGTGGTTAGTCTCACCAGGAGGGTTTGATTCCCAACTGCATTTCTGTCCCCTTCTGCCCTTTTTGATGTGGTCTCTCCACAATTAACTTTGGAAGGTCTGTTTTGCCAGACTTTGGGTCATTTTTCAGAGTGATTTGCACAAATAGAGCTGTTATCTTGGTGTGTCTGTGGAAGGAGTTGAGTGCAGGATCCTCCTACCACTCCATCTTCCTGATCTCCCCTAACTCCTGTTATTTCCTTTTCAGTGAACAGATATCACTGTCTTATATGCAGCGGTTTAAATAATTACAAAAGGAGTTGGAGTAAAAATCATTTGAAAATTACTTGCAGACATGATGAATGCTTTTTCTTAAATATTTCAGTTTGTGTTCCTTTAATAAAGGGGATGCTCCCTAACATAACTATAATACAGTTGTAAAAATCAGGAAGTTAACAGTGATATAGTGACTTTATCCAAATTTTGAAAAAAATCAGATCCAAGATTCAATCCAGGATCAAACATTGCATTTAATTATCATTTCTCATCAGTTTTCTTTAATCTGGAACAGTTGCTTAGTCTTGGTCTTTTTTTTTTTTTTTTTTTAAATGTAGGCTAATTATTTTATAGTAAGTCTCTTGATTTGGGTTTGTCTGGTTTCCTCAAGATTAGAGTTACACATTTTTGGCAGGAATGCCAGAGAAGCAATGTTGTGTCTCTCAGTGCATCAGAGGAGGGGGCACTTGATACCTTTTTGTCCCATTATTGGTGATAATAAGTTAGATCACTTGATAGGGGTAGACCATTATAAGGATGCTTTCCCATTATAGGTACAGGCATACCTCAGTGATATTGCAGGTTTGGTTCTAGACTACAGCAATAAAGCAACTATATCAATAAAGCAAGTAAAATGAATTTTTTGGTTTTCTAGTCCATGTAAGTTATATTATACCACGATATATGAAATGTATAATAGGATTATGTCTAAAAAAGCAATGTACATACTTTAACATTTTATTACTAAAAGCTAATCATCTGAGCTTTCAGGGAGTCATAATCATTGATCAACATAACAAATAATGAAAAAATTTGAAATATTACAAGAATTACCAAAATGTGACAGAGACACAAAGTGCCAGTAGATTTGCTTGATGCAGGGTTGCCACAAACCTTCAGTTTGTAAAAAATCAATATCTGTGATGTGTGATCAAGCACAATAAAATGATATATGCATGTATTATGTATCTTAGGGAGAGATACTTTGACATTATGTAAATACCAATCTTGCTCTTGCTCATTTTGGCATTTATTGGTGATTCTTGAATCAGTTATTACTGTAATGGCTCATCAAAGTAGTGTCCATACTTACCTTAATCTGATATATTTCCAGGGAAGAGGTGCAAACCTGAAATACTCTTTTCAGGTAGGCCTCTGTCTCACCAGAGCCCAGGTGTGCTGTTACCCTTTAGTCACACATACTGATGTGTACACACATGGCAATGACCAATAACATATTTTACTCCTCCTAGAGACTGCTTGTATTATGGGTCTGTAGTTCGAGTTGAGACAAATATGAATATACGTGCATGCCATTATAGAAGAATGATGGCATTTTTTTTCCCCCGAAAATATCTTTGTTTTAGTGTTTCTTACTAAATGATTGATCTGTGGGGATTAATTTTATCATCTGTATAGTGTATCATAATTAGATTTTATGTATTTTTATTTTAAAATTAGATAAGTTTTGTTTTTTGTTTTTTTACTTGTAAATTCTCACCTAAACTAAAGGAGGAGCCTTTTTGAAGGATTTTTTTTAATCTTATTTTTAAATGTTATTTGTTAGGATCCGAGGTGTTGGGACAGCAGCTGTTAATATGTGCCTTGTGGCAACTGGAGTTGCAGATGCATATTATGAAATGGGAATTCACTGCTGGGATATGGCAGGAGCTGGCATTATTGTTACTGAAGCTGGTGGAGTACTAATGGATGTGACAGGTAAAATTATGGGACAGTAAAGCATTTTTCTCTCTGGTACTTTCCTTTATATGTGGCTTTTTTCTTTTAATGTTTAATATATGTTACACTTAAACTCTTAAAGGCCAAACAAAAACAAGCCATGTAATTTTCTGCAAAATCAGAATAACAAATTGAGAGAGGCAAGGATAAGAAGCTAATTGTAATGTGGGAATAATAATGATAAATGACTAAGCCTCTTCAAACCTGTGAGTATCAGGAACTCTTGAGACGCTTTTGGAAAATTACAGAAGGTCACTGAATCTGAGGTTTGTACCAAGAGCTTTTTGGTGACTGGGGTGGTTGACAATGAACTTCCCCCACCATCACTTTCTGCCTTGGGCCTAGAGAGGTTAACTTCTTGCTTTGAACTGATGGTGAAATGTTTTAAAGTGAAGAGTGAACCTGGGCCGAAAGATATTCACTTGTGATCTGGGAGAAAGGCAATGAAGAAATAAGGAAATGGGAAGGAGAGATATGAAAATGCTGTGCTGTGGAGTCAAATTTCCTGTCCATAGATTCCCAAACATGAAAGAGGTAATAAAAGTAACAAAAAGATTAGAAAAAGAACACAGGAAAGAAGTAGATGAAGCTAATATTACACTGCATGTTAACTAACAAATATAAATAAAAATTTTTTAAAAAATGGCATTTTTCAGACCGGTATGATTGAAACGCTCCCCACCCCCAAAAAAAACCCTGGTATTTACTAAAAGATTCTTAAAACTCATTCATGTATTGCCAAAGCTTAAGCATTATGGTTATGACAGTTTTTTTTAAAGAAAACAAAGTATTAAAATGTTATGATTGACCATAGTACATATTGCTATACTAGTTTTACAGGAATTATGTTTGGTTTGATTTTAGGTGGGCCATTTGACTTGATGTCACGAAGAATAATTGCTGCAAATAGTAAAACATTAGCAGAAAGGATAGCCAAAGAAATTCAGGTGATACCACTTCAAAGAGACGATGAAGAGTAATTGCAACAGCCCCACATATTCAATCACAGCTGCATTTCCCCATATTTGCTGACACACTGATGGTGTTATAAAATTTAGGACATTTATTTCAGATGTATAATATGGTTGGTTTAAATTGTCTTTGATATCCAGATTAAAAAATTACAGTGTTGTATATTTTACTAAGGGTATGAAAGAAGAGCTGAAATATTTCATTGTTTTAAAAATTCTGCGTGTAAGAGTATACTTTGGGGAAAAATACACAGGTAGTTGAGACAAGGTATCAATCACATCAACTGAAATAGCAGTTTCTAAGTGTATACGAGCCTCTGAAATTTTGACTGTACATTAAGCATTCTTAATTAGGTAACTTTTTGGAAAAAATTTTCTTTAGTTCCCAAAGCCATATTTAATTAAATTTGTAAGTATATAATGGGTACTTCCTAGACCAAGGTTTTTTTCTTTTCAGAGAACCTAGTTTTATTCTACACATAGCATCTGTCAAATATGGGCAATTCAAAAACAAGCATTGAGAGAATAAATATTTTGGAGGTAGCAATTCCTAGTTATAACATATATAAAGTAATGAGCTCACCACCCTTTATTTTTACTTTAGGTTTTGAAGTAAAAATGATCTCATCATCGTTTTCATATTTTACATTATCATTCCTTTTAACATTTCACATTGCCACACCATTTCAATTACCGTATTGCCAGATAACATTTCTAATTGTGGGCATTTCGCAGTTAATATATTTTCCAAGACCCTGCATTACAGTATTTGTTTGGATTCTCTTAAAGACCCTATGTAAAAAAGCTGTTTCAAAAAAGCATTCTCATCAGGTATCTACTTTTCTACTATAATTAGGTACACTATAAAATTGTACTAAATTCAATATTCATGTTTTAAAGATCTTCATATTAACCTGGTTGTGCACAGGAAACCTAGAACCTGGCAGATATACTGTACTGTTAATACTAAACTATGTTTTTTCCCCCAAACTCCTTAATTTCTTTGCCACCAGTACTCAGTCTTAAAATATTCCTTAATAGTCTTTGGCTTATGAAACTCAAAGAAAACTGTTCTAGTTCATAGATATTTTAAAAGGTTAATTGACTGCTTCGCCTTGTCCCTGGGCACTTGAACAGAGTATTAAGTTTTGTTATGGTCTCATGTGAGCCTTATATTTGATAGAATGAAAAGTGCATCTATAAAGTAGGAGGTTATTTTATTGTGCACATCTAATATATTTAAAAATATACTAAGATTTGAGTATTGTATTTGTACAGTTGGTCATGTGCAGTAAAAATAACTTGTACTATATTCCTCTATGGTTAATTTTTCAATTAAAATTTATTTTAATTAAGACTAATGAATAAAATTTTAAATAAGTATGATTGAACATTGTTAAAGTTTATAATTTAAAGTACTTCTAGGGGTTTTGTGTTGAGTTGTATATATTTGACATCTGCAGTTGTGATTTAATATATGTTCTTGGGGGTTTTTTTGCCAGTTTTCCCAGCTTTTCTGAAAGACTTGATTTTTTTATTCTAAATGCAACTAGGTAATTTGTGGCCGAAATTTCTTTGGACATGGATAAAGGATTGACAAGTGAGTTATCCAATAATAGTTTGAAAATTTGAGTAATAGAAGTCCATCTCTCCAACTCTTAGCAGTTTCTTCTAGTCTTTACATCCATCTTTTTAAAGATGGATATATTCTGTTACATACTTATTGGCTTTATTCATTATCTGTTAACTTGCTGTTATAGAAGATGAGGATTTTGTACTTTTAACTCACCCATGAGTTACCTTTACCTCTTCCTTTTCATCCTCCTAGTATGGTAATATCTTTCTTGTTAAATTTATATTCAGTGTTTAACTTAGGACTTTTATTCACTGGTTAACTAGTATGTTATGATTATATTTTCTTTCCTGTGCAACTTTTGTTCTTCTTGAAATTAACACATTTTCCCCAGGATTGTAAAACCTCTTTATTTTCTACTTGTCTAGCCCTAATCAGGTATTCTGTTCTATTAGCACTGTTTTCTTTTCCTCCTATAGATAGACTTTTTGGTGCCCTTTTCCTTTTCTTCCAGTGTGAATTGGTTACTGGCTAAGTGTGCTGCATAGCAGTCCTCCTGGAGCTTCTCTTACGTTCAGTCATCTGTGTCCTTGATCTTCCTGCTCATTTCCTCATTTTGGTGAGCCCCTCTTCCAGGTACTTAGAGGTAAAATTTTGATATCTCACAAGAAAATGTCTATTCCTTCATTAATAGTTTGGCTAGTTCTAGAATGCTAGCTTGAAAACAGTTTTCCCTCAGAATTTAGGATGAGAAGTCTTTTAATTTTCAATCCATTAAGTCTTTTATTGAAGATTTTAGAAAACTCCAGAAATCAAAAGAAAATCCTAAATTTCCTGGTGATAAGATGTCTTCCCCCCCCCCCCAATCCATTGTGCTAATTCTCATCCTTTCATTCTGGAAAGTTCAAGTCCTTTAGTGTTTTCTTTTATAGTTTCCTCCCTTCCTCATTCTCTGTCCTCTCTTCCTGGAATTTTTCTTATTCAGGTGTTGGACCTCCTAGATTTATCCTCTTATTTCCTCTGTTTAACATCTCTTTCCATTTGTTTATAAGGGACTTCCTTAACTTTATCTTCCAACCCTTTTATTCACTTTTTTAATGTTATGCTATCCCTTGATTCTATCCCTGGCATTATTCCTTGAAGGTTCTTCACTTTCCAAGGTTTTTTGTTATGAAAATAATATCAAAATTTGTGGGTACAGGTCAAACACTGCCTACAGGGAAATCTATAGCCTTAAACGCAAGGTACAAAATAAAACAACAAAAAAACCCAAACAAACAGTACAAGGATTGATTGGAGAAATAAAACTAATTCACTGATTTCCCACTTGGGTTTTTTACAGATCCTTTTGGCTTTTCTTTCTAATTAGTGTCTTTAGTGGTGGTACTAGAGGTAAGGTCAATGTACAAAATCATTTGTATAAGCTACCAACACATAAGTTAGCATTTAATGAAGATATATATATAGTATTTAAAAAGCTATCAGATAACTAGGAATGAATTTGTCTAATGAAAGATGTACAAGAGCTCTATACAGAAAAAGCATAAAACATTACTGAGAAATTTTTAAAAGATCTGAATAGTAATATACATGTTTATTGTTTAGAACTATTTTTCAGATGTTAATTCCTGTCAAATTGATGTAGATTGAATGCAATCCATCAAAATCCTAATGGTTTGGGTGGCGGCATAAGGTGGGAGGGCTAACAACTTACGTGGAAATAGAGCCAAAAACAGCAAAGACCATTTTAAAGCATAATAGTGAAGTTAGAAGACGACACCACTAGTTATCAAGACTCGTTATAGAGGTACCATAATTAAAACAGTGATACTACTAGCACAAGGATATTCAAATAGACCAATGGAATAGTGTTCAGAAATAGACCAACATAAAGCTCTCTAGTTTATGATAATTAATGCAATAAGGAAAAATGATTTTTAGTAAATGTGTGGAATCAATTAATATGAATATCCAAAGGGGAAAAAATCTTGATCCACATGCACAAAAATCAATTCCAGATGGATCATAAACTTAAATATGGAAGATAAAGCTTCCAGAAGATAGCATAGGACAATAGCTTCCTGTCTTTGTGGTAAACGATTTGGTAAATAGGACCAAAAAAACAAAAACAAAACCCACTAATCATAAAGGAAGACTGATTGATCAGGCTACTTTTATCATCTAAATATATGAATAGGAGAGTCAGAAGGCAACCCCCAGAGTTTGCAATACTCTGACAAATTCTATCCAGATTATTTAAATAACTCCTTATCGATGAAAAAGATAATTGGGACTCTGGTCCAAGATGGCTATGTAGAAAGATCCTGAACTCACCTTCACACACTAAATCTACACTAATATGTAAAATAATTCCTCCTGAAAAACTAAGGACTTAACAGTTTCTGCACAAAAGACCACATAAAGAATGGCAAGAAGGATAGAGACAGTAATGAAGGGAAACCCCCACCCAGGACACACACTGGAGTGGGGAGGGGTAGTACTGAAGGACTGTGAGCAGATTTGTGAGCTCTGGGGCACAGAAAAAAAGCAACGGTTTAAAAGAGCAAATAGATATAAAGGAACTAGACCTAGAATCCTATCATACGGCAAGGGAGCTGCTGGAACTCTCCAGGTCAGAGGGGCTGGTGAGCACCACGGTTTACATTCCCCTTCCACCTTGATAGTGTGGATGGGAGCACTGTTCAGGTGCCATAGCTGGCCTTAACCCCCTCAGTGAGCCCCCAGTCCCTAGTCCATACCAGCCCTAGCTGTCTCACCAAGGTAGCCCCAGCTTGACAAACACTGGGACACTCCTAGTAAGTGCTCACTATGTATATCTCCCGTGGTTGCACCAAGGTGCAACAGGTATAAGCCACCCCAGAACTTCACAGGCCCATACCACTTTGGCTCCAGGTGGCCTCCTGGCTCACACCTGCTTCAGCTACCCCACTAAGGTGCCTCCTATGCACCTTGTCTTGGGACACCCTGCTTGACACCGGCCTTGGCTCCAGTCACTCTACTAGGGCACCCCCTGTGCTGAGCACACTCTGGCTTATACCCACTTCAGCTTCAGCTGTACTCCCAGGGTTCTTCCTTGTAGAAGGAAGAACACACCTGCCAGGGTGCCAGGTGTGTGGAAAACCCTGTGACAACCTGGGTTGCACCCATTTCAGCTTCAGCTATCTTGTTAAGATGCCTTCTACACAGAGAACCCAGAGACTGCCCCAGCCCATGCCCACTTCAGCTTCAGCTGACCAGGGCACTCTCTGTGCAGAGAGCCCCAGGATCACCCCAGCCCATGCCCACTTCAGCTCTGGCCATCCCACCAGGGCAGCCCCAGCAGAGTGTCCAGGGACCCCCAAGCCAGTCACAGCTCCAGGCAGCCAGCCAAAGTTACCAGGCACACAGTCTGCACAGGGGATGACCATACACAAGACCATTCCTTCAAGATTAGGAGAAGCAGCTGTTCTACCTAATTCATAGAAACACAGTCAAGCAAAATGTGGAGACAGAAGAATATGTTCCAAATGAAAGAACAAGATAAAACCCAGAAAATTAAATGAAACAGGAATAATCAATATGCCTGCTAAAGAGTTTAAAATAATGATTGTAAAGATGCTCATCAGACTGGAGAAGAGTGTGAGAATAAAATGAGAGCTTTGACAAGGAGATAAAAAATATAAAAAAAGAACCAGGGTTGAAGAGTACAATAACTGAAATGAAGGGCGCCTGGGTGGCTCAGTTGGTTAAGCGACTGCCTTC